GCGGGGTCGGGTCCCTGGTGGCAGCGTGGGGAGGGCAGCTGGCACCTTCATTCAGCGGTGCTGGCACCTTCAGCGGGTGCCAGCGGAGCCTGCAGCCCGGCTCCTCGCTGCTGCCCTCGGGTAAACGCCGGCTCCGCTTCCCGCTGAGCTCCGGGAGCGGCGCAGGGCTGGGAGAGCGCTGGGAACGCAGGGATGGGGAATGGGATTTGTGCAGGGACCTGGGATCCTCCCGTGCTTCCTCCCTCCAGGAGAGCTTCTCCTGCCAGGGCTCTAGGGCGGGACAAACATCACCCCCCATTTCCCATCTGTGCCTCCACCCTCCCTGCCCTGCCCCGGGCACTGCTGGCCCTGCTGCTCGGTGCTTTTGCTGTCGCACTAATTGCTCGGGATCAATTATTCATTGTGCAGTAATGAAGCAGGGAGAGGGTGGCTGTGCAGCGAGCCCTGGGCTCTGGCTGTCCTCGCAGAGGGTGAGGAGCAGAGCTCGGGGAATGATCCTCGTGAGCACTTTCACAATGACTTGGTGAAGATTTTCTCAGGTTTTGGTTTTCCTGCTTTGCATTTCTGGCTTTGCTTTCTTCCCCTCAGCCCCGTGCTGTGCATTAGATGCTGTTCCCTCTGAAGATTCCTTGGTTCTTAGTTGTCACTTTTTAAATCCTGAACAGCATTTCACAGATAGAAGGTTCTGTTCTGGTTCTGTTCTGTTCTGGTGGATCTGGGCACAGTTTTGTCCCATGCTAAGAACCAAAATTGTCCAATACTTTCCTTCTGCTTCAGGAAAAACCTGCTTTGGAAAGGCTGATGTTTCCCTGGATGATTTAGGTGCTCTTTTCCTGCACTCCAGCTGATGTGGGGTGGGTGCTGCCTCCAGCACAAGGAACCCTCTGCTGTCTGCATCTCCCACAATAACCCTGCAGAGATAATTGGTCTCATTCCCATGGGGTTAAATGCCTTTGGGGGCAGCTGAGGCATCTCAGAGCAAAGGTCCCTGGAAGGGCAGCAGGGGCCAGAGATGTTCCCCGTGGGACACACGGAGGATGGAGCTGCCATGGCCAGGGACAGCCACAAGATTGGTTCTTCCACCGCTGGACCAGCACATCCCTCGCTCTCCTGCTCACATTGATGTCCAACAGCCTGAAGGGACTTCCCTGCTTTTCCCAGTCCCTGGTTTTGGCTGAGGGGTACCTGGGTGCAGGGCAGCTCTCTCAGCTCTGTTTTGCCTCCTCTTCCTCAGCATCACCACAAAAGAGAGAGAAAACCTGAGCATCCCCATCAGGAGCCAGGAAAGGCTCAGGTGAATGTCCCTGTGGCCTGGCATTGCTTGAACCACAGTGGCTCCATGACTGAGAGGAGCAGAGGCTTTGAAATGAGAAGCTGAGAGCCTCCAAAAAAAAAAAAAGAATTAAAAGAATCCCTGACCTCCCCTTGCTGGGAATTCCAGGGAATGCCACATGTGCTGGCACAGTGGGAGAGCTGGAAGCACCAGGGCAAGGGCAGGGCAGGCTTCAGCTCTGCTGTCTCCATGGCTGGGGTTCTCCCAGCTGTGGCTCACCAGCAAGGCCACATTATTGAAAGAAATGCTGGAGAAGTCGTGGTTGTGCTGACACTCACTGAAATTTTCTCTGCTGAGCTGGAACAGTCCTGGATGTAAGCAGCAACTCAGAAAAACCTGCTCGAGGTACAGACCAAGGAGCAGAGGGGTTTGCAGTCCTTCTGCACTGTCTTTGTTTCAATAAAACTTGAAAAATTTGAAAAAAACTTAATTTTTGAGGTAGTGAGTGATCCTGGAAGGCAAAGAGAAGCCAGGGAGTGGATAACAGGTGCAAGGTTGGAGGATGCTGGTGCAGGCAGGGCAATGTTGGTTTTTTCTTTGGAGTGTGTTGGTATTTATTCAGTGAGGAAATCATTCTTAAGAACTCTCTTGCTGTTGCTCTGGTTTCAGACCTATTATCCTCCTTCCCTAAAATGACCCCAGAGAGCCATCCTGGGCTTTGGAGCTCTTGCTTCTGCTTTCTCTTCCCCTTCTCAGGAAATGCTGCCTTGGTCTCTCAGTCTGAGACAGAAACTGGAAGAGTGAGGTGTGAGATCCTCCAGGGAGGACTCAGTAAATCCCCTCAGCCCCTCGACCTGCCTGGCTGCAGACAGGGAACCCAGACGCTGGGAATGGCAAAAGCAATTTGTTGAGTGCAGGGGAAGATGCAGACAGTGAAAAAAAGGGAAATCTGCAGGTGGAGGTCAGGAACACCCAGAGCAGTGAGACCAAGGCATTGAGAACGGAGAGATGCAGATGTTGGCTCCTGAGCTGCTGGGGTGTTTTGGGTGAGGCTGTGAGGTGGAAGGACAGCACCTCCCTCACACCAGCACTGCCTCCAGCAGCCCCTCGGCCACATGAAGTGGTGGGAAGGTGTCAGCCCCCCTCAGGTACTGGAAAAGCTGCTCAAAGGCTCCAGGGAGAGCTCAGAGCCCCTTCCAGGGCCTGAAGGCGCTCCAGGAGAGCTGGAAGGGGGTGGGATGAGCTTTACAATCAAACCATGCTGTGAGTCTCTGAAGCCTGGTCACATCCCCATCCCTGAGGTCTCCTGTCAGCAAGGTGACCTTGGCTTTGTGCTGATGAGGTCCCCGGTGCCTGCAGGCAGGAGCAGATCTGTGGGCTGGCAGTGATGGCATTGCTGCCTCTCCTCCCGTCTCTCCCCACCCCAGGTGATGCTGAGCAGAGCTCAGCCCTGTGCAGACAGGATTTCACAGCCCTGGTGATGCTCTTAGCCCCAGGGGGAGCCGACCCTCGCTCATGGTGAGGCTGCTGCTCATCCCCTCCACGCCAGAGAAGCGCAGCAGAGGCTCTGATTGAATTAGTGCAAGGATTTAATTTAATCCCCAAATGTCTCTCATTTTAAAGAAGCCTGTTCATTTCCTTCTAGGCCCTTATCAGATGTGAGCAGGACTGGGCAGATAGGCAGTGCTGGGGGAGGGCTTTGTGGGGAGTGACTCGAGGGCTGTGTGGGTTTTTCCTCTAATTATTTCATGAGATAATGATGACAGTGATTGTAAGACAAATAAAACATCAGCAGCATCACTGAGGCCCAGGCTGGTGCAAATGGCAGCCTGGCCTGGCAGGGCTGGGAACATTCCCTTCTTACACAGAATTGCTGTGTGGGGAGAGTGGAACAGCCCCAAGGATGGGGTGAAAGGAGCATTTGCTTTGTGCCTGACACCAAATCCAGCTGTTTCATGGATGGGGCGATGTCATGAAGGGACCAAGCATGTCGTGGTCTCTGAATTTTTGTATTCGGGCTCACTGGGGGAGTTCAGGTGATGCTGAATTGCTGCTGGGACCAGCCAGGCTGGCTGGGACAGAGCTGGTGCTCTCTTTTCTACACCCTTTGGGTGTGATAAACCAGGAAAGGCACAGCTGGACACATGTGGGCTCCAGCCCAAGTTCTGTGTGACCTGTTAGCTGGGGCTGGTCCTGTGGAATAGCCCCTGCCCCAGGACCTGTGTAGGAGGGAATTGCTTCCTAAAGAGAGGATTGTTTTCTCTCTTTTGGTATTTTTTTCCCTGCTGGGCTGGTTTTGCCCCTTTGGCTTAGGAAAATCACACAGGACCCCGCTCTGGCAGGGGAGGGCTCATCGCAGGCTCCCCCTGCTCACAAAAACAACCTTGGAGATTTCTTCCCTTGGGCTTTTCCCTTTGAAAGGACGGAGCTTGCTCAGGCCATCCCCAGCTACAAAGAAACCTGGAAAAACCAGCCCCAAAGGCTTAAAACCCCGGCAGGGGCTGGCAGGAGCGGCTGTGGTTTTGTAGGGCTTGGCCAGAGCCTGGGGCTGAGCCGGGACAATCCAGGGATGGGCAGAGCCCGGCGCTTCCCTCTGGCATTCGATAAGGAGGGGCAGGAGGTGTCGCTCCTGTTGGGAACGGCTGTAAAGAACGACAATGGACTCTCAAGGGAGTCACGAGAATTCTCTGGTTTATTACTTCAGGCCTGTTTTTATAGACTGGTACGTGGAAGGTACAGAAAAGAAACTCTTACTGGTTAACAAAGTGCTACATCAGCATCATTGGTCAGGGGGGCCCATCACCCCCCTGACCTCCTCCTGCAAGGAAAACAAGACTGCAAAACAACACCTGCAAGGCTGTTTAGTGTCCCTGAGGATTGCTTTAATTCCTTCTCATATTTTTCCCAGGCTACTTTCTCAGGCAGCCTGAGGAGCCATGCGGCCTGTAACTTGTACAGGCACTGTGGTTCAGATTTAGCATCCATAAGGAGGAGCTGCTGGAGCAGCCGCTGGGTTTCTCTGCAGCCCTCGGGGAAAATCCCTGCAGGGCAGCAGCTCCGGGGTGAGGATCCCGATACGGCTCTGCCTCTGTGGCACCCTGGCATTCCTCAAAAGCCCCCGGAGGGGGGAGCAGAGTGCCACCATCCCGCTCCTGCCAGCCGGGAGAACCTGCTGTTGCAGGGCTCAGGAGCAGGGCTGGGTGCTGACAGAGCAATGGGTGCTTGGCACCGCCCGGGGACGTGGGGACGCTGCCACCCCGCCCCAGCAGAGCACTGTTAGCCTTGTTCGTATCGGTGCCAGCCTTGCAGGTGGGCTGGGAGGGGGTGAAAGGCTCCTCAGGAAGGTGGCCAGAGAGATTTGGGGTGTTTCTGCTTTCATCCTTTATCTTCTCCTCTGGCAGATGCTGGAGACGGACGCCGAGAAGCCGGGGCAGATGCACTCGGAGGATGGGAAGGCAGCAGAGGGTGATGCCCCTCCGGCTGCCAAGGCAGCGGCTCCGGCCGAGCCCTGGGACGCTCTGGGGGCCACCCAGGCTCCTCTCCTGGTGCAAAAGCAGCCGGTGGCCACCAGAAAGGGAGAGGAGCAGCCCAGCTCCCTGCCAGCCTTTGTCATCCCCGAGCTGCGGCTCGACAGCACCTTCAGCCAGAGCGCGGCGGGCACGGCCGGCAGCGCCACGGACGGCGAGGATGACGAGGAGGATGAGGAGGAAGAGGAGGATGAGGAGGAGGAGGAGGAGGAGGAGGACAGCGAGGAGCAGTACCTGGACAGGAAGGAGCTGAAGCGCAGCAGCATGATCGAGACGTGCGGGCAGCCCGGCTACACCCTGAGCGTGCAGGGCTCCCTGCGGCGCCGCACCCACAGCGAGGGCAGCCTCCTGCAGGAGGCCAAGGGCCACTGCTTCACCTCGGACAGCAGCCTCCACTGCCCCGACAGCCAGGGCACCGCCGCACACTGGGCACTGCCCTCCCCCAGGACCCTCAAGAAGGAGCTGGTCAAGAACGGCGGCTCCATCCATCAGCTCACGCTGCTCTTCTCGGGCCACAGGAAGGTGCGGGAGCCGCGGCTGCTGGGGGAGCTCCTGGGGTGGAGGTGTCCTGGCACATGGCTCCTGTCGCTGTGACCATGGCCCAGCTGCCTTGTGAGCGGTCAGGAGGGTCCCTGCCCCTGGCAGCCGGCACTGGGAGGAGCTCAGCACCCGGGGGTGCTGCCCAGAGCAGTGGGCAGTGCTCCCTGAGCCCCCGGAGCAGAGCTGGCCCTGGCTGCAGCGATGCATGAACGAGGTGCCAGTGCAGAGATCATTCATGGGGAGCTCTGCTGTCCCCGTTCTCCCCAGGTGACACTGGCAGGGTGCTGGGAGTGGCCCCTGGCCCCACACCCTGCTCTGCCCCAGCAGCTCCATCCCTGCCTCAGCTCTGGGTGCTGCTGGGGGCTCTGGTGCCCGGCACAGCACCACAGCCCATGGCTCAGGTCCTGCTGCTTGGGACACCTCACACAGTGACATTCTGCTCCAGAGCAGTGGGTCCTGCAGACCCTGGGGTTAAACCCACGCTAGGTTAAGCCTCTTCCTGCCACGTTGCTTGAAAAGCTACTCTGGTGCTGTTTCCTGGAGGAATTTTTGTGCTCAGAGTCCCTGACCAGCTGGTGAGAGCCTTTCCCGGGGTTCCAGACTGCTGGGATGGGGCTGCTGTCCACAAGTCCAAACTCTCCTGGAGACCAATGCCAATAACTGTGTGTGGGAGCAGATGGGGGTTCAGACCTGCCCTATCCCCGATAAAGCAAAGGCACCCCTGTGTCAGGGGCAGTGTCACTGCCTGTCACACGCGGGAGAGAGGCGGTGACAGCGGCAGCACCGGCTGAGAGCATCCTGTTAGTGCTGCTGTGAGCAGTGCCCTAAAGGAGAGCTCACAGTGCCGCTGTGTGTGCAGCCCTGAGCCTGCAGCCCTGCAGCCCTGCAGCCCTGCAGCCCTGCAGCCCTGCAACCCTGCAACCCTGCAACCCTGCAACCCTGTAACTCTGCAACCCTGCAACCCTGCAACCTTGCAGCCCTGCAGCCCTGCAACCCTGCAACCCTGCAACCCTGCAGCCCTGTAACCTTGCAGCCCTGTAACCCTGTAACCCTGCAACCCTGCAGCCCTGCAGCCCTGCAGCCCTGTAACCCTGCAGCCCTGCAGCCCTGTAACCCTGCAGCCTTGTAACCCTGCAGCCCTGTAACCCTGCAGCCCTGCAGCCCTGCAACCCTGCAACCCTGTAACCCTGCAGCCCTGCAGTGCTGCCCGGTCTGGGCTGTGTGTCCTGCCAGGCACCCCTGATCCCCTCCGTGTCCCGGGGAGCTGCACTGAGCTCTCAGCTGGGTGGATGTTTTGGGTGAGCTCCTCCTGAGTTAGACTGTTCTGGTGCACATCAGACTGGGATTTTTGGGGCAGGGATTGGGCAGCCTGTGCTGGTGGGGAGGGCAGCGTGGGGGCTGCACGTTCTGCAGCTCCCAGTTGCCAGCCTGCAGCAGCTGTGGCTGCCTGGAGCCTAAATCCCTGCCCATGTGTTCTGCTGGGCACCCCTGCGTGTTCCTACTGTTCCCTGCTCACATCACCCTGCTCCCATCATCCCATTCCCATTCCCCCATTCCCACTGTCCCATTCCCATTCCCCCATTCCCACTGTCCCATTCCCATTCCCCCATTCCCACTGTCCCATTCCCCCATTCCCCATTCCCATTCCCCCATTCCCACTGCCCCATTCCCACTGCCCCATTCCCATTGCCCCATTCCCATTCCCCCAT